TAATTAATTAGTCTCTTGCTTTTATGCACCCGCCAAGCTTTGCCTGTTTTGCTTTAAAAAAAAAACTTTTATTAACAATTTGATACCATTTCAAAAAAATAAAAAAGAAAAAAAAAAGAAGAATTATTTGTACTTCGAAGTTCGAACAGAAAGCGATCAGAATTAGACTTGGACCGGGTACCCAACTCATGATCAAGTCCTTCCGTTCGTACAGTTAAATCAATTTATGAACCCAAAAACTTTCCACCGATTCTTTTTTTAATTTTTTTTTTGAGAAACAAAATGATTAACAGTGTCAAAAATTTTCGCATTGCCTTTTTTTTTTTTTTTTTGTTGGAGTCTAACTCATAATTTGCTATATTTTGAAAACGGATCGGAGCGGACGGTCAAATCCGTTAGACCCGAAAATCAGAGACCTTTTAGGTCGGATTTTAGGAAATAACCAGTTAATTTAAAAACCACTCAAACCCTATCAAATGACTCAAATCTGGGCAAAACTGAGTTCGACCGGAACTTGTACCGGTTGAACCGGAATTTTGTAAATTTGAAAAAAATATTTTTTTAATATTGTTAGGGCCGATTTTTATTAGTTTTTGATGAACCAATAACCCATTTAAATTGCTGGTTCACCTTTCGATCCGGTTTTCAAAACATAAATTTGTAATTTCGAGCTCATTTTTTGACTCTCTCACACAATTATCTGATTTTATAGAATACTTACAACAAACAAATTCAGTCGGCCGTTACAAGTGATAAATATAGATTTCTTTAATTTAATTATTTGTATGTATCTTATCATATCGTATAACTGAATTTAGTTATTCTTTATCATCAATTGTACAGTATGAAAAACTTACTCCATTTTAAAAGACCTTCTCTCCTGAAAGAAATTAGACCCTTTTAACTATTTATGGTTTTCATTGATTGTTACATCTTTTGATAATTTTTGTAGCTTAATGTGTAGTTCAACAACCAATTGATTAATTGTTTTTATCTTTGAATAGAAATTGATTAGAGATCTTAAATAACTTGGACTTGGAGTACATGGTCCAGTCACTCAGGTCAAGTTCTTCCATCTCATGATGAAGAACTCAAAAGCTTTTACTTATTTCTCAAATAGATTTTTTTTTTTTTGATTATATAATAAGATACATCAATTTGGAGGGAAAACAACAACGACCAGAATTTTGCTGTTATATAATAATTGAAATATTAAGCCGGTTCCAAATTTCTTTAAATGGTAAAATCACGTTTTCGATTAAACTATTCAAAAAAAAGTATGTATACAAATACGTGCATACTTTACTCTTAAATTCAATAATAATAATAATAATAATAATAATAAAGCGGCCGGGACGGCTCATTCCTTTTGTCCATCTCCTTCATTTTCAACTGCCACATTTGGCCACATTTACACATGAACCCGTCATGGAAAAGTTTAGTAGCAGCAGGCAGCAGCGATCAAGGAAAACATGATCGGCCCAGCTAGAAAAATGATTTATATAAACGTTGTTACCAAAATTATTTAGCATATAATTTGAGGACAGAAATAATATTAATTAATTTGAGTATGGTACTCCCTCCAATCCTTATTATAAGGCATTCTGATTTCGTTTTGTCCTTTTAATTGGAAAAAAAAATCTTGAAAATATATTTTCACATTCGTTGTGTTCTCCTAATTACAATAAAATATTTTTAAGATTTTTATTTCAATTAAAAGGACATCTTAGATGAAACTTAGGACGAAATCAAAATACCTTATAATAAAGATCAGAGGGAGTACTTCTTTGTTAAGTCTTAAGTTTCAATCGATCCATAACGGATAGGACTTTGTCAAATTGAAAATATATGATCACGTAATTTGATCGATCCTAGAAGACTTATTCATGTTTAAAATTTCACCAGCTCATTTGAGGACAAGACCAAAGAATACGAATTACAAACACTTTTTCAGCCAATAGATTTGGCAACATTGTGTCATTTAATTAATTCAGTTTTTTTTTTCTTACTACTTTGATTCGTCTTGTGTTCCTTTCGAACTACTCACTCAAATTCAGACCTTTTTTTGGTCAGGTTTTTTCGCTTTTAATAGTTTACACGCATATTTTATTCACTGATTATCCTTTAATGTTCAGATTTAATGATGCCTCTGATGCCCCTTTCCACCTCAATAAATCCTTGTCCTGAACTAGAGTCGCCATATCCAACAAATTTATGTTGTGTCTAAAAGTCACTCCAATTACCTCATCCCATAAAAAGTAAATCAGGCCTCCCCAAGATAATCGCGCTGTGGAGATTTTTTTAGCAGGAAATAGAAAAGTTAAAAGGAAACATGCATGGACATGAGTTTCATTCGGTGAAATGTAGTTCAGTCACAAAACCAATATTTCATTTCTTACTATTACTTCCGTCCTAAAAAAAAAAAGTCTAAATTGAGTTTTCAAATTAGTATTAAAAACAGTATAAAACTTAAAATTCAATGTGGATTATTTTTGTGGAACGGAGGGAGTATTTCCTAGCTAAAAGAAATATACACTCGATTAACTTGTTTTTTTATGCTTGTCGCAGATCACTAACTGAGTCATTAATAAATCAATCTGAAACTTTTTTTATGTACCTCTCGTAAATCTTTAAATAAATCTGACTAGGATATACAGCATGCCATACTACTACCACTTCCATGAAATTTCAGTGGTTTAGAAGGGGGAAAAAGAAGATAACTTTCCTTCTAATGTTGTTCTTAGCAAAGTAAAGGGCCAAAAAGGGATGTAAAAGAGTGCTTTTTATCCCAGCAAATTAACTGGTTTTTAACTAAAACCTCCTTTAACACTTAGTACTAAAGATAGCATAAAAATATCTGTAATTTGTTAGAATAGTCTCAGTAAAATAAACTTAATTGATTATTCTGGCAGGGATTGATTTAGATGCGTCTGAGCTCACGAGTTGATCAATGTTCAGAGCGGTTGTTTTCCAAATTTAATTTTTCCCTCTACAAATAAGCTTCGTACGAATTAAACATTAGTTAATTTTGTCACAAAATCTAGCTTATAGGTACAATTAATTATTATTTGTGACACATAGGTTTTGATAGGGAAATAATTACGGGGTGATGGTGACTGTGATGACTCGGGAGGGTGCTATACGCTCAATTCGGTCTTGCCTTCGTGACGCCATTAAGCACTTGAATGTTTTTTCAAAATCGACAAAACAAAAAACAACAAAATTAGTTTCCACATTTTCTCTTCCATCATCAGTTAATTAATTACTATATTATATATCATCATCTAATTAGCCAAGAAACAACCCAACTCTCCTTCCCTGTCTGCTTATAATTCTATAATTTGTTAGATTAATCTAACTTCTAATATTGTAATTTTTTTTTCTCATTCTACATTACTCCAACAATATGTTCGACAGTTCTAATTAAACCCGCTGCCTACAACTCATCTTATACCAGTTACAAATTTTCTTACATCAATAAGAGTCGACCGCAGTTTAATTGAATGTCTTATAAGGGTTTTTTCGAATGATCGAATAAAATTGATACCTAAGTCTGAGGATACTATATGGTCTGTGGTTAAACTTAGCATTTCTGGCAGGACGCATACAACAACATTAATTTAATAACACTTGTTAATTTGTTGGATATATATATAAAAAAAAAGTTGAATATTTTAATAAAATCAATTATTAAAAAAATGAAGAACCACCCGTGTGAAGAATATACATGTGAGATCCTCGTATCTACTGTGCTTCCATTTGGAGAGATACGATAAACATGAGCAAGTGACTAATATATATTTACACTTACCAAATCATATAAACACATACCTTGCAAAAAATTAAAAGAAAATACAGAAAAAGGAGCAAACTAATAAAAACATGTACATCAAAAGGGTTAGTTGGAATTGCATGCTTAATCAATCCAGCCTTGTCCAGCTGACTCATCTTCAATTGACACTTCTCTTAGTCTAAATAGTTTTTCAAAAAGTCGTATTACCATAAAATTAATATTAATACAATACCATTTCAATCTTCTTCTGCTTGGTTTATTCATTTGGAAGATATATAACGCAATTTTCTTTTATGTTTTTGAATAACGATGAATGGATTAGTTAAGCAAATGATATATTTTCTTGCATAATACAAAAACGCAACTCAAAATTTACAGAAACACTTATCCTGGGGGATTACAATGGCTTTCCGTCCCACCGTTAGGTGTTAATCCCTGGTTAGAGCATGATGTAATTGAGGTTTCGTACACATATCATGTACTTGTCGGACTCTAAGCATTTACGCCTCTTCTTTTGAAAAAAAAAAAAAAAATACAAAAACACTTATCCTGAGAGAAAACACCACGAATTCGCTTTGTATCTATTATATATTATGATATGTATATAACTAAAGGATTAGTAGTTAGATATTTTTCTCAACAAATATTTACATAAAAGAAGAAACCTGTTTCCTCTTTCATTTTATTTTATTTTATTAGTTGTCTAAAGACTAATGAAAAAGTACAAGAAAGCGATACGAACTATTAATAACTAATAAATAACTAATTGGACATGATAGTTAAATTAATGGCAAAAAGGTAGATCCATTCGCGGAGAAATTCAGCCGGCCGGCCTTAAGTAGAATGAGTCTTGCATACATTTACAAAGCCACCTTAGACGAGTAAAGATCAGTTCATTCATATATACCTTAATAATTGTCTCCTTCTTCCCTTCAAACACCAAACTTTTTTTGATCAATTCAGCATCCACACACTCAGCCAAATCAAATTCACAAAAGTTTCAATCCAACCTTTTTAATTTAATCCTGACTTAGATTATCCTCCATGATCATGACCACTTCCTCTTTATAAAAACCCTTTCACTTGTTCTTCCCCAAACCCTTCTTCAATCCACACTCAATTCACCACAGACAAATTCTAAATCCAAAACAAAGCTAGATTATATTTCACTCGCTAGCTATTTAGTTTTTGTATTTAAATTAGTGTCATGGAATCCAACAATCAAGAAGACTTTGTGAACCAAGAAGTTGTTGACCTTGATCAAGAAGACCAAGATAACAACAGCTTAGGAGTTGGGAGATCATATGAGTGTGTATTTTGCAAAAGAGGGTTCAACACAGCTCAAGCTTTAGGTGGGCATATGAACATTCATAGAAAAGATAGAGCAAGAAACAAGCCTTCTTCTTCTTCTTCACTTGATCTTGTTCTGAATTCTAGCAATGATATAATTAGTAGTAGTAATCATGACCCAAGATTCTACCATCAGATCAATATCATCCCAACTTATCATCATCAACCTCACTTCTTCCCATCTCATGATCACCAACAACAATTCATGAATCATAGATCATCATCATCATCATCATCAAACTTCCAATATTCTTCAGTTCCGGCGCAACCCTTTTCTCCAAATGATCATTACTTCAATTACAATCATCAAATAGGGTTCAATCCATTTGGGTTTGATCAGTGGAGCATGAGTTTCCACAATAATATGCCATGTAGCTCTTCAGCCCATGTGGAAGACCTTGAAAAGAGCAGAAGAGGAGTCAGTCAAGAAGAGGAGCTGGATTTGGAGCTTCGACTTGGTGGTCCTTTATGAATTAATATCAAGTAATATTTAGCACTTTAATCCTGGGAAAAAAATTCATTGTGTAGTAATTATATTTTTGTATTGTAGCATACTACGTATATATATGTTTTGGTGAGATCTGAGACGATGGCGTTCTTGATCAGCTACCAGTATTCTTGCAAATTAAAAAGGGCTCCATTTTCTTTTGATGAACTACAATTGTAGCTCATAATTAACCAGAAAGTTTTTTTTTTTTTTGGGTGCAAAATTAAATATTAAAACTTTTCTTCAGCTCCATTGAGGAGGAAAACTTGCATAGTCGGGAGATCATCATGACAGCAGCAAATTAAATCATCGATGACGGATTCATTCTTCACTTTTCAGGTAAATAAGACAGACGTTTCTGAGGTGGCTTTATTTTCCCTTTGAATGGAAGCTACTTTAATCCCAAATTTAGTACTCCCTCTGTCCCAAAATTATTGTCCAGTTTGAGATTTCACTTTTAGTATAATTTGAACTAGAAATAAAAACTTAAACTGGACAATAATTATGGGACGGAGGGAGTAGTATTCAATTTTTGGGGTGATAAATTAGTGTAATGATATGCTCTTCTTCCGCACTTTGAGTGTTCACCTCTATGTGTTGTCTTTATTGAATGAGTGCTGTGGAAACTTTTTATGTAAGAAAAGCAATGAAGCCTTCAATTTTCATATAAATACATAAATCTTTTGGTGCATGGGTCAGTAAAGTCCAATAGAAATCCATGAATTACATGAGTTTATTGGCTTTCCACATGTGATCTTTGGCAGTTAGTATTCTAGCTCTATCTATGGTCGACCATGGTCACTTTACTTCAAGGATTTCCCTTCAACTAGGTCTATATACAATCAATATATGTATTGCTATTTTTTATTTATTTGAGTTTTCCAATTATGGTCAAGATCTAATTATAGCGACCACTTTCAAGTCACGGAAAGTATCCGTCACAAAAATAATTGCCTAATTTTATTATATTTCAAGAAATAATACACTAGAGAGAGGATATTCATTTTGGGACAGAGGAATAGTATTGTTGCAGTGATCCAACTTAGTTTTAAACTTCATTTCAATTGGAGTATCAAGATTTTGCAGGTATTCATATCCCCTCATCTTTTCATTGTTGTTCTTGTGATGGACGCATGTTGTTCAATCGGATTGGATGATTTCATAGATGATTAATTAGACCGGTTCATTTTGCCTAAAGATGATTGCACACATTAAAGTTTTCCATAATGTTATCAACAAATTAATACGCCTCGGAAAGCAATATAAAGATATTAACTATGCTTCTGTAGTTATATTTTCACCGGGTTGAAATTATACTCTATTCGTATCAAAATTGTAATTTCCATTCCTAACCACTGCTTCATGAAATATAGAGGCTGGTGGATCCACATCTTTCTTTCATGAGAGCGTGCTGAAAGTTAGAACGATTATAATGTCAAATTCATTTAATTACATTATCGAGTTTCGTACCGGCGTATAGACACGTATGTTGACCGCCCGGCCGGCCGCAGCTTTGAAACTTTGTATATATTGGCCTGCAAGAAAATGAATAGACTATTTTTCGGTTTTGCTCCTGATTATCCTACTATACGTACACTAAAACCTCCATTTTAATTTACTTATCTTTAAGTTAGTTGTTTTACCTTTAAGATAACATGCTTTCGTTACATCCCAACAAGGAGCCGTTTAAATTTGTTTGATTGTTTTCTTTTGAGGATATTGATACTCTTTTGTAACACGTAAACCTTAGTATTTGGTTATATATATCATTGCAAAGTACCAACATATATATCTATATATAGGTTGTGCGATATTGTAGGAGACCTCTCAAAAATACGCATTCATCATCATTTATACTATTTAATTATGATGAATATAAAAATTCAATTTGGGGAGGAGGGAGTATTACGAACTACAATTGCAATGCATGTTGACTAAACTTAGCTGACAGTGGTATAATACTTAAACTTTACTTTCGAACACCTTCACAACGGCACCAGTGGTCTAGTGGTAGAATAGTACCCTGCCACGGTACAGACCCGGGTTCGATTCCCGGCTGGTGCATTCTTTTAGAAAATTTTGTTACTTCCACATTTGTCTTCTTGATCAGGACTCAGGAGTCAGATGATTGTCCCATGCTTTTTGATTCCTTGTAATCATCCATCAAATGATTGTCCCTGCTTTTTGATTCCTTGCGACAAATACTTCTTAAATATGAAGAGAGAGTTAAATGGGCTCTTTTGAAGAGGCTTCCTGGAACCGCATGAAGAACCACTCTCTGAATTCTCAAAGATGTTGTCCCGAGTCAAAAGCAAAGCCCGATGATGAAGCTCTCCAAACCCGTCTGGACCTAAACCTTTTTTTTTTTTTTTTTTTTAGAGCGTTTCTTTAACCACTACTTTGAAGGGCGGACTCATAAGTAACAAATTCCAGAAGGAAAAAAAAAAAAAAAAAGAGAGAGATTGACCATCAAAATCTTTCTTCACATTTTTCAATTATTACATATGTTGATGGTCGTTGTCTGAAATTATATGACCATACTTGAGCAGAGTTCGGAAAGCCAAAAATTCAAGGAATGCAGAGGCAAAGTTAAAGCAGCAGAAGGTAGCTTCATTTATATCGTTTTTATGTCTTCTTTTATGAAACCCCGTTTAGCAACTTCTTATATTTTATAGGACATTTGAAATGGTTTTATTCTGGGTTCGTTAACATTCCGCATGGAACCAAGCAGCAGATAGTAAGGCCTTCTCCATTTCAAACAAGACTGTACCATAATCTAGTATTTCGAAATTTCTAGATTTCAACAGACCCCAAGGATTCAGAGCCAGAAAGTGGGAAAAGATAGAGCCGACACTTAACAGTTCCGGAATCTTCACTTCATCAAAGTTACAGTAATTTACAAAATCATACCACACATTCAGGGCCAGATGCAGAAGCAAACTATCTTTACATAGATGAATCCATATGGTGTGTTCACGTTATACACTGAGTAGGGAGGTTTGTTTCGGCAAATACAAGACTAAAAGATTTTCATCGGAGATGCCAAAGTTCTATCTATTCAACTAGCCAGATGTACCAGTTCTCAGGACCAATCATTTAGTGAGATAGTATACAACCAGAAAAATGACCAGGAAAGAAGCCACCAGCATACCCATTCTTCTGCTTGATTTGGTCTCAAATACCTAAAAGGAAAAATGACAATACAGGAAAAAGAAAATAATCATCAGCGGCACAAAGGTTAACCAAATAACACAAAGCATATCAGATTTACAGGAGAGATGCTCTCTGGTTACCATCTTAAATTTGTCCATGGTTCCAGCTAAAACTCCCCTTGAAGTATCCATCTCGTCTCTCTGAATTATAAATAAGAACAAAAGAAAAAAACGTCATAGAGGCATAATGTTGATCAATTAACAAGAGAATATTGGCATTAGTTAGCTACTGTCTACATACCATTCCGTCCAGCATGCGGTTATGGTTGTCCACTTCCTCGTGTATATCACCTGAAATCTATTCGCATACCAACAAAAAAAAAAAAAAGAGGATCAGAACTGGAAGGAAATTCCCAAATTCACCAAAAGAGCATGTAATACAGACTGCAACATATAATGCTATCAGCTAATTAAAGACAGCAATGCAATACAGATAGTATCAAGATTGACATTTGTGAATATCTACAAACAGAGCCACTCCACACTTTCCTTCTTAGTCTTTCCCTAATAATTCAAAGTTAAAACGGATTTCATGGCTCATAGAACAGGCATTCCGTGTTTCCTTCTTAGTCTTCCTCGAATAGATTCATATGAATTATCATAGAGTTCCGTTTTATTCTTCCTCTCAAAGATTTCTCCAAATCTCAGTCCCTAATGCAAGTGCACTTCAACATTCAAACCTCACACAAATTCAACATTGAAATTTCAAAATGCTTTGCTATGATGTATCAGAGAGCTTCTCTAATTGGTTAGACTACAGCGACTTCTCTAAACTAATAATGAGTTTCTACCAAACAAGTGCATCGCTGAAGACAGGTAACCCATCAATCGACAGGATCAAACAGAACAACTCTCGCGGCAAATAAATCAGGCTAGGACGAACTAAAAGCATGTCAGTTAAGACCAGTACTTCATTCAATTTATCTAATGTGGCACTAACTGGATAGATTCCTTAACCGCAGTCCAATTCTGGTACTAAATGAAAAGAGGAACAGTTAAAGGATCACACTTACTCTTTTCAGCAGACTAACACGGTCCTGCAACCCCTCGATTGCTCTCTCATTCTCATGCTCATCAATTTCGAAAGAAGATGAAGCCCTGATTCCACCTTCTTCAATGCCATCGAACAGAGCAGCTCTGGCATGACGTTCCCTATAATTCAAGTAATAATGAGGACTATAATTGTAGGTAAAAACAAGAACCCAAAACTAATCAAATACAAGCACAATATACGCATTTTCAAATTACAATTCATAATAATATTTTATAATGAATAATAGAGTAGACAATCGCTGGGCATACTGATCGAAACAAAGCTTTCATCTATGCATACCAATCAACAAGCAAAAACAATTAATAAGAAGACGGAGAGATCAGCGAACCTTCGAGAATTCATCATGGCTGATGAGATTCCCAGTTCGAAGAATCCAGGGAAAACACAATGCTCGGCAGCCTACAATTTCTGCAACTCCAACAACCTGAAAGATAAACACGCACATTCAAGCAATTCAGTCCAAACGATCAGATGATTTTACAAGTATTGATCAGCCATCATATCTAGGGTTTTAGCAATAAACATCAACATTTCCATGCTCCAAAAAAAAAAAAAAATTATATGATCAAAACTACCTGATTCGAAGAATTGAAGATTAAACGGAAAAATTAAACAGATAATTGATCGGATCTGGATGAAATTCGGAGAGAAGCGCAGTACCAACCTGTTCCGAGTTACGGTGAGTAGTAGAAATAAGAACTTTGCAATCGTGAGGAGCAGAAAAAATGGTTAGATTCCGTAAATTTAAACTGCTACTGCTGATGCGGTGATGTGTAAAATTCTGGAACTAAGCCCAAACAAATATTTTTCACTCCAAATGGTTTAAAAATACTTGGCCCAAACCCCCTAATTAAAGCCCATAATCAAAGGCGCTACAAGGAGCACGAGGTCAGCACATAAAGCGGGAAAAAACAAAAAGTTAAGCCTAAAAGCGTTAACAAGAGTCAGCGAGATTCGAGAATCTCACTGAGTTTCACTCCTCTTCCCGGACACTCTTTTCTCGAGAGTCGAGTAATAAACCCCTTCTTCTTTCTCCTGACACTTTCTATACATTTTCAATTCATTGAATTGAGTAATACAGGAAATTATAATTCAGTTGATATATATATATAGAGCCTGATAAAAGGAAAAGAAGAAAAAAGCGCAGGAAAAGAGAAATGGAGGGCCGTCCTCCGCCGTTGGCATGGAAAGCAGAATACGCAAAGTCGTCGAGATCATCATGCAAGACCTGCAGGAGCCCCATTGATAAAGAAGAGCTCAGGCTTGGGAAAATGGTTCAGGCCACTCAATTTGATGGCTTCATGCCCGTAAATTTCTCCTTCCCTTTTTTCCACCATTAGGGTCTAATGTAGTAACTGTTATTGTGTGATTTTTCTGCGTAGTTCCATGATTTTTTTTCCCTTTTACGGATATTTGTGATTGTATCTTATTAGGTTTATGCTTACATTTCTATTCATGTTGCTTTTATCACCCTCGTGATACATATTCTGTGATTCTGGTTGTCTGATTCTTTGGGGGAGGAGAGGAGGGGGTTGATGAGGTTTGCATTGTGGTATTGACTGATACCAGTGAGCACTGGCTGGAATTAATGTGTCAGAGAAGCATCATTGTTATTTGGAATGTGGAGTTGTGCACCAGAACTATTCTGATTCCCATTTGGATTCTTTGTTGATGACTCTAATTTGACTTGTTTGCTTGTTTCAGTTATGGAACCATGCCGGCTGCATTTTACGAAAAAAGAATCAGATAAAATCGTGAGTCCTCGTCTCTTCTATTTTAGCAATCGTTACATAAATGATTGTTGATATATTTTACATTATTATTATCGTTATGTTTGGATGGTAGGGCTGATGATGTAGCGGGCTTGGAATTGCTTCGGTGGGGAGATCAACAGAGAATTAGAAATTACGTAGAAGGCGATGGGTCATCAAATAACTCTGCAAAAGCCCCTGCTTTGACTGTGTCAGCAATTGGCATCGACATCTCACCAGCAGCCCGTTCTTCTTGCAAGCACTGTGGTCAAAAGATTAAGAAAGGACTGGTAAGCTTTGCGAATATAACGTTTATAGCTTGGATAATTTACCTTGCATTTCCCATTACTTATTGGTGATGCGAATGATATTTGATGATCAGTGCTGACTATTTGTTGATGAGCTCACATCTGGATGGTTATAAATGTTTGATTAATGTATCCTAATAATCTGGTTTCCGAATCCTTTTTCCTTCAACTTACTGCTGAGAATTCTAAGTGACATTCAGATGGGGGGTTATAGAGAATAGTCTTCAGGAAATGGCTTCTCTATCGGGATTAAATGTTACAATGAATTATCTTCTATTATTATCTTTTACAGTTAAAGATCATGGTAAATGTTTCAGCATGTTTCTGAGAGGGTACTTTACCAATTTAAACCATTGTTGGCCTTCTTTCTCCTTCCTAATCTCCCAAATGTCTCAAAATTCTATTTGTGTTGTTATGGCCAAATGCCAATTGAAAACTTTTCTTCTACTTATGCTGCTTTGGACTAGTTGTGGTTTAGGAGTGTAAAAGTATGGGATATTTCAAGTCTTATTTCGTAAATATTGCAAAAGTCTCTTTGCCTAATTGCAATTTTGATATTTATTTTGTAAATTATTATTATCATGTTCTAGTGGAAATAGTTTCACAAATTGCACTTTCACTACTAGTCCTCCTGGATAAGGCTACAAGTTATAACTTTGTGCATTTTCTCAGGAAAGCTACCACATGCTGGATATTTCTTGAAATATCTGCTTTGTGATGTGAGTGTATGGTGACTAAAACTTATCTGTTAACTTGCATGATTTCGTGGACTTTGGAAAAATCAGTTCAACAAACTCTTGTGAAACTAGAAATTGGATTTGATTAAATGCTCTCCACATTTAGGTTCGGATATCTACCAAGCCTGATGGTCAAGGTTCTAAATCTTTGGCGTGGCATCATGCCAACTGTTATTTGGAAGTGTCACCAACCACACAAGTACATAAATTGCTTGGCTGGGATAGTCTCTCACCTTCTGACCAAGAAGCTGTTCTTGCTTCTGTTAAACCAGTTTCTTCAGTTGTAAAAGGTCATTTATGATATTATTTAAGTTGCTTAAAGGATTTTTTTTTTCCCGTCTATCCTCCCTGTTTTAAAAAAATGTGTTTATTGTGGCATAAAAACAGATGAAGAAACACTGGAAGAGTTGAAGCCTAGTGGAAAAAGGAAAAGAGCTGATAGCGGTAAAACCAAACTTGCTAAAGGTGATATGGATATTGAAACAACCAAAACTGAGGACCCATTTGAGGCGCAGACTAATGCCTTTTGGATCCTTAAAGATGATCTTAAGAAATATGTTTCTACGGCAGAGTTGCGCCAGATGCTTGAGATTAATGATCAATGTTCAACCGGAAACCAGGATCTTTTACTAGGCCGCTGGTAATAGATTTCCCTTTGTTAGAATTCATTTCCTTTTTTTTTTTGTGAAGTTATTATGTGTTTGAAGAGCAGTATAGCTGTTAATCCCCCAAAAAGAAAAAAGAAAAAAGAAGAAGAGCAGTATAGCTGTGCGTTAATGCAAATGTGACATTCATGATTTCTACATTGTTTGTGCTAGATAAACAATCCTTTTGTCCTTTCTTCAGACCTTGTGCGTATCATTTCCATTTGGGGCTCTTTGTTTTCTAATATGCTTTGTTAGTTCATGTTTATTTATTTTCTCAGTCCTTTGATCTTTTGTGTCAGTGCTGATGGAATGCTTTTTGGAGCTCGTGGAAGATGCCCAATCTGTGGAGGACATCTCCATTACTCTGCCGGAATGTATAAATGCCATGATTATTTGTCAGAATGGGGCAAGTGTTCTTACTCGACAACTGAGCCAAACCGTTTCCAAGGAAAATGGAAAATCCCTGAAGGGACTAGTAATGAATATCTTTTGAAGGTATTGATGTCGAAGATACACTGTTTAGTATCTTCAGGCGTTTAATATATAATAAAGATTAATGCTTTAGAATATTTCTGTGATGCATTCTTATGTTATGTAATTGGTGATTGTCAGTGGTATAAGACTCAAAAGGCAAAGAAACCAGCACGCATACTCCCGCCTACACCTGTAACACCTACAAATAAGGGTGCCAATGGGATGTCCCATTCATCTAAGAGTGAGAATTTAGGGGACCTAAAGGTTGCAATTTCTGGGGTGTCAAATAGCTCTTTGGTATGAACTTCTATCGTTGATGGGTTTCTTAGAAATTTTAATGTGGAAAATACTTTCCTGGGTATTGGTTTGGGCCTGCTATAATATTTTCTGATCTGTGGTTTGAGAAATTTTATTCGAAATGTATCTACAGGAGATGTGGAAGACCAAAATTGAAGAAGCCGGTGGAGAGGTTCACCAAAAGATCCAAAAAGGTTTGGCTTATTTAGTTAATTCCCTTGTTTGGTTCTTCGTGCTCTAAATCTTTACTTTGGCCATTAGGTGTAAATTGCTTGGTTGTTAGTGGGGATTTGAGTGACCAAGGTGCTGAGATGAGGAAGGCAAGGTAAAAGGCATTTTAAGGCTGGTATCTGTGCATACACTACACAATTATTTTGGGCAAATCCACTTATCCAAACCTTTGCAGGAGGATGAAGTTACCTATTCTGCGGGAACAATACTTGGCTGACTGTGTAGAAAGAATTAAAAAACTTCCTTTTGACTTGTATAAGATTGAGGCTATTGGGGAGAAGCACAGTACGGTGGTAGTCAAAGTGAAAGGTCGAAGTGCCGTGCACGAGTCGTCGGGCTTACAGGACTCTGGTCACATCCTTGAAGATGGGAATAGCATTTATAATACAACTTTGAGCTTGTCAGATCTGTCCACTGGTGTCAATAGGTAAATGCTTCTGTTTTGCACTTCCTCTTCATTTATTGTCGTGCGCTTCTTGTTGTTTTTTCCTAATAATGTCACATTTTCCTGTTTTAGTCATTTGTATTGCTTATTATTCATGCCAAAGGGTTATTTTTCTGCCTATGCTGTAAGACTGAGGAACTTCTTGAAGTTCCTAATTTTATGTTCAGTTTTTTGTAACTCTTGAATTGCTTTTATGTTGTTTTTTTTCTTTAATTAGTTCTTTCCATCAATGTATTTACTTGATTGAATTGCTATTGACTGACAATGTGCCTCAAAAAATAAAATCTTTGCTTGGCATGGCCTTATCTTATATGAAGCACTTCTGCACTATTAGCCACTTGCATCAACATTTTACTTTTCTGCAGAACTTTACATTTTTTTTCTGGTGATGTGCTATCTTTTCTATGCATATAGGTTTCTTTCTTATTCTGAGTAGCCTTTAACTCCTCTTTTTGTTGTATGAAGTTATTATATCCTTCAAATCATAGAAGATGACAAAGGGTCAGATTGTCATGTTTTCCGGAAATGGGGACGAGTAGGAAATGACAAGATTGGTGGTATCAAATTAGATGAGATGGATAAGGTAGATGCAATAGAAGAATTTAAACGGTTGTTTCTGGAGAAGACAGGGAACTCTTGGGAGGCATGGGAAAGTAAGAAAGATTTTCAGAAGCGACCTGGGAGATTTTATCCTCTAGACATTGTAATCTCTTGCACTTTTTTTCCTTGGAACTTTTATGTGATGCCACTCCATTTGAAGTTTGAACAATTGTTGTCTCTTGTTTATCAATGCATTTGTAGGATTATGGCGCGGACACATCTAAAAGGAAAACTTTCGACGATTCGAAAAGCCAACTTGTACCCGCTTTGCAGCAATTGATGAAGATGCTTTTCAATGTAGAGACATACAGGTTTGAGGATATTCTTTTGTCGGATAATTTATACTGTTGTGTTTTGGGTATACTTATTAATTAAATACTTTCAGGGCTGCAATGAGGGAATTTGAGATTAATATGTCTGAGATGCCTTTAGGAAAACTCAGCAAGAGCAATATTCAGAAGGGTGAGTCCAATTCAGAGTTGCATATAATATTAACTATGTCTGAGATGCCTAATAATTTGCGGTATTTCGTTTAGGTTTTGAGGCGTTAACAGAGATACAGAATCTGCTGGAAGATATAGCAAGTAACCCTTCCGTGAAAGAGAGTCTTATTATTGCTGCAAGCAATCGGTTTTTCACACTTATTCCTTCAATTCATCCACATGTGATCAGGGATGAAGATGATTTTAAGTCAAAGGTAAAAGATGCTACTTCCTTTTTCGGAAAGAATTTGGATGGAGAAAAGTTGGCCATTATGTATAGTCATGTTATATATTTTCCTACCTTCTTTTTCCCTATCTTCATCAAAAGAATTTCTCTCTGCTTGGGGTACTTTGTTCACCAACCAATATCCTTGTTTTTGTAGGTGAAAATGTTAGAAGCTCTTCAAGACATTGAAATAGCTTCTCGACTGGTGGGTTTCAATGGCGATAATGATGATTCTCTTGACAGAAAATATGAGAAGTTGAGATGTCAAATTTCTCCGTTGTCCCCTAATAGTGAAGATTATCGATTAATTGAGAAGTACCTCCATACTACTCATGCTCCCACACATACGGTTGGTTTTTCCCTCATCTCTTTATGTGCATATATATTCTCTCAGGGTATGCCTTGAATGTTTGCAATATCTTCAGGAGTGGTCCCTGGAATTAGAAGAAGTGTTTGCTCTTGAAAGGGAAGGGGAATATGACAAGTATTCTCCTCACAGAACAAAACTTGGCAACAAAATGCTTCTATGGCATGGTAAGTTGAAGGTGGCATTACATGCAGTTTTCTTGTCTCAAGATGAGAAAATAATGGTCTTCATATAACTGTCATAGTATCTAAGAGCTACCCTTCTCTTATCCTAAAACCCTACAAGATTTTGATTCTAAAATCACATCTAAGTATATCTCTACAACAACGATATACCCTGTATATCAATATGTCTAAATATATCTCGAATGAAGTAAATTTCAAATGTTGCTTTTTTAGGTTCTCGGCTGACAAACTTTGTGGGTATACTTAGTCAAGGTCTGAGGATTGCTCCTCCTGAAGCTCCAGCCACTGGTTACATGGTCTCTCCTTCTAATTTTCTCTTGTTTGATTTTATGAACACTAGACAAAATTCTGGACTTTGTTGTAATTTTTTTGGTGATATGATTGTAAATTTTTTCTTTGTAAGTGTAGTTTGGAAAGGGGGTTTATTTTGCTGACTTGGTCAGTAAGAGTGCTCAATATTGTTTCACTCGCCGAGATAATCCTGTGGGATTAATGCTACTTAGTGAAGTGGCTTTGGGGGAGATGTACGAGTTAAAGAATGCAAAGGTGAGATCACTAATCTGCAATTTTGATACATTCATGCTCTTTAGTTTGTGTATTGTGTGATTTTTGCCACACAGAATCATGCAGAAGATCTGTTGTTCAGTTCTTGGGCTCTTGACAACGTCAGCTGAATTTATTTTGTAGCTGTTCTTCATTTATTCAATTTAAGTCTCGATTTAATTAGATTTGCTTTCAACTGTCATCCAGTATGTGGAAAAGCTGCCTCGGGGGAAGCACTCTACCAAAGGTCTGGGCAAGACTGTACCTCAAGGTTCTGGCTTTGTTAAGTGGCGTGATGATGTCGTTGTTCCCTGTGGAAAACCTGTCCCATCCTCCATCAACACCTCGGAGCTTATGTACAATGAATATATTGTCTATGACACTGCTCAAGTAAGTCATCCTTGGTTCATAATCTTTATTCATTATATGGGTCTAATATTGTGTAACATGTATTATGTCTGGTTTAAGTGGTCTTTCAATTAGTCCGGCACGGAAGTCTCGTCAAGCATGACACATAGAAGGAATGTGAACTTGTGCTCTTCTGAATCAAATGCCCTTGTTCGTCGTTGTTAGTTTTTAAATCTTAAAAACTCTTATGCAATTTCTTTATCCTAAATTGGCCAAAGTGTACAGATGTATTAAAGCATTTTGAAAATCAAGAGGAATAATCATGATGGTTTGGAGTTTAAATAGATTGAGTAAACGAGGCTGCAAGGATTTGTGGTTACCCATCTGTTGCTCCTATAAATTCACTACACATATCAGTTTCCTGAGCATTTTTCACTCATTTTGCTTTCAGCATGATCGATAAGAATGTGTGGGATGTGAATGTGTTTGTGTACCACCCAAGATCTGGGAATTTTAAAGTTGGACCGCCCTGAAAATATTAGGCCAAACAAACAAAGCTATTATCTGATAATAATGTTTAGACAATTGGAAGAAAATACATTGAACACATTCATTTTGCTTATTGTTGTCTATGTAGGTTAAGTTGCAGTTCTTGTTGAAGGTGCGGTTTCATCATAAACATTGAGAGACTTGCCGAGGGTAGATTCTGGCACAAGTATGGTTAGTACTTAGTGGGCTGTGTGAGATTTTTGCTAAGGATGTTTAAATATCCTGTAAGGATGTCTGAGTGGTGGTTTGATCTCTCCATCTTGTTGCTAGCTAGTAAATGCAGCCCTTTTGCTTTCATCCTCGTGTAAATGCTTCTTGTAAGTAATGAATGGAAATGCAACCCGTCCTTTCTGCTTATCTTATATTATCGTGGTAATTTTTCTGCGGCATCTATATATTTCTTAATGTTTTTCTTCTTCTGAAGCATAAAAGCATGTGACACTTGATAGTTTCACGACTTTTATATCACGAAATATCGATATAGTAGGTGAGTCAGGTGCTATTACTAACCTACAGCTCTCATCAGTCATCATCATCAATATATAAATGGCTGTTTGCGGTGGAGGAAAGCCAAGTAGAAGTGGTATTATGTCATGGGAGTCTTGGTAAAGAGCAAAGGTTGGGAAGAAGGAAAGAAAGAATGAGATAGTCACAGATAGCCACAGATAATGCTACTTTATAAATCTATGCAACGTGAACCATCGCCACGGCTCTTGAAGCACAACTCAGAAATGTAAAAAAAAATAGCTTCTGTGGAGGAAAATGCCATTATCCTTGGTTAGAGCTGACGAGACGAGCCTCTTAATGTTTGTTACGCCTTTCATTCATCCGTTTCCCAAACGTGACGTACCTTTGCCCTACAGATATTGGGAATATAACCGTTTCTTCCTTGTTCCTTTTTCATTTTGGGTATAGAATATTGAAGAATGGATCAAGTAGCTAGACATGGAAAGGGATCAATTCAATTCAATTATTGACCTTCTTTTGTTCATATCCTGGGATGAATTAATGATTCATGGATTGATCAAAGCCCGTACAAATTTTGAGTCTCGGTTTAGTGATATGATTATCCCTTTTGCCTGATTAACAACATATATGGTAGTTTTCCAGATTGAAAGATTGGTCGGGTAGTAGCAGATTAATTGAACACTGATTCCATGACCAATTTTGTTGGGTGAGGGTGACCAAACTCCAAAATTCCAAGCTCCGTAAATGACAAAAACCCAAGCTGCTAAAAAAAAAAACACACACACACACACACACACACACACTTACATTTAAGTGGATGTTCTAAAGTCTCAAAATTAACTCTTTCTTCCTTCCCAAAGCCTCAAAAGTCAAAAAAGGATCATAACTCATAAATGATCTTTATTTTATCAGCAACACCCCCACGAGTGCAGGCCATTAAATTCTGACAGTCCCAATCTTTTGAATGGAGGACAAGTACCAAATAGTAGGCAAATGCACAAAAAGAAATGGAGAAGAAAGAAAGTACACTATCTGTTTTGTTAAAAAAAAATTAAATGGTTGTTTGGAAAGAGCCACCCTGTTATAGACTTATAGCAGAAGACTAGAAACAGCCACTAGCAATCAATTTAAGGAATGGAGTCGGACTTAATACGCGAGTGAAAACCTTTAAAATATTTTTTAATATTTTGGAGAACACGATGAATGTGAAAGTATGATTTTAAAATTTTCTTTTTCAATCGAAAAAATATATTAATTGAAATTCAAGACAAATCAAAATGTTTTATAATAAAAATTGAAAAATACCCTAAAAGATCAACTCTCGTTGTAATAACTTAGATGAGTTCAAAGTAATCAATATGTGCAGTCTCAACTCTCAACCCAAAAAAAATATGAAGGATTCAATACTTCTTTTTAGCGTTTTTGAAATTAGTCGGTCATCAATTAAATAAACTAGTTCTGACAGTGGATGCTTCTTAGTATTATTATTATAGTTGAAAGTACATAGAAAAGTTATTCTCCCAAACCCAATAATTACCACATTGTATCACTGCTGCTTAGTGATTTAGTCTAAATTAAGTCCTAAAACTAAACGCGTCAATAATTTCAAGTCCAAAGCCAGTTGAAAGTCCATAAAGATATAAAGGTAAGAACTCATACTATACTATATAAAGAAAAAGAAAATACTAGTTCCAAGGTGCGGCGTTCGGCGGGGAAATATTACTTAATTAAAAATCCACCATTTGGATTATTTTTAATTTCTTTTTGAAATTTTGCTCTATTATCATTTTCAACACTAAGTGTTGAAAAAACAAACCACATTTAGTTATCAAAAGCCCCTAAAAGGCTATGAACTTACTAGTATAGTACTAGTAATCTAGTAATGCCAAATCAATCAACATGTTAGAAAATTTGCACTACTATACTTTTTAAAATCTGTTGCAGAATTTTTACGAAATCTTGTATCAAAATTTCTTCTTAATTTCAGGGTTCTAGTTTTTTCAGATCATCGGTGATGATGCATTAAAAACTCTCCATGAAGAAGAAAGAAGCAAAGAAGCAGAATAAAAAAGGGCATAATATTGCATAAGCCATTAAGAAATGTTCCCTTAGAACCCTGCATTTAGACCTGCCATGTCCCCTAGACTGACCCCCTTATAAGACCCCCCCTAAACTTTCATTTCATTCCCAGCCATCCATATTCCATATACATTCATTCATTCCCCCCAAAAAAACCAGAAGAAGAAAAGATCTCCAAATCCTGCAACATTCTCTCTGGTTTTTAAAAGACACCATTTCCTAGTCTGCCCGTGTGTCTTAATTAGCTTTAGTTCTTTATACTTCCTTCCTGAAAATTAAAAAAGGGTTGTAAAGATCGAACCTTTATATGTTTCTTTAATCTGGGTTGGGATCCAAAAAAAAAAATCATCAATCAATCAAAATTTAGAAAAGATGGCAAATGGGACAGGGTCACCCTGTGGTGCATGCAAGTTTCTAAGGAGGAAATGTGCAGCAGATTGCATATTTGCACCGTATTTCTGCTCAGAACAAGGGCCAGCCAGATTTGCAGCAATCCATAAGGTGTTTGGAGCCAGTAATGTGTCTAAATTGTTGTTGCATGTTCCGGTGCCTGATCGGTGTGAAGCTGTGGTTACCATTGCTTATGAAGCTCAGGCCAGACTTAAAGACCCTGTTTACGGTTGCGTTTCTCACATTTTCGCCTTACAACAACAGGTATTATATATATACTTCTTAATTATATCCAACTATAATTACTTTTATTAGGCCCCAATATCCATTCTTGTTAAATGATTCTGTCTCACTTCCGTTTTGGCTAAACCAACCAAAAACACTTGTTTCTGAGAGTAGAGAGATTTGAGTTTGTCTAATAAGATGGAATTTTCTTTGTCTTGAATGAAGTCCTGAATCATATCGGTGATGACAGATATTCCCTCTGTTCCAAAATAATTGTCTAGATTTTCAATTTTAGTTCAATTTGTAATAAAAATGAATATCTAAACTGGACAATAATTCCGGGACGGAAGAAGTACTAACAACACAAAAATCCTGACTTTGTAAGGGTTAATAGTATGAGAAGTTGAGAGTTTTTTTTTTGTTTTTTTTTTTTTAATCCGTCCTCCGCTCGTCCACCTATTAGAAAAAATCATGAAGAGAAGAATTTGTCTAATTTGGTTGGTGTTTTGGTGTGTTGATTTTGGTAGGTCGCGTATTTGCAAGCTCAACTAATTCAAGCAAAAGCTCAGTTGGCACAAAGCATGATTGAATCTTCAAGAAATAACGCCGAAAATCAACCCTGCTGGCCAAATGCCGGTGGAAATAATAATCCTAATGGGATGATGGCGTCACTAATTCCTCCATTACATCCAGCAGCTGCTTATAATGCAAACTCTTTCTCCCCACAGAGCTCAGTTTGTTCACTCGATTCCATCGGCGCTGGCACCGGCCCAAACACCGGGGATATCGGAATCGGAATGCAAGAATTCATGCGAGACAGAGATCAAGAAATGATCTCCTTCCAGGCTTATACTAAGAAAAGACCTTCACAAACTGACTTGAGTGAGCTTCAAGCTCTGGCATTCAGAATGATGAAAGATTAATTAATGACACAGAAAAAGGTCTTGATCAATCCATGCATGCAAATGAATGAAAACATGTTTTTGGATCCTCAGGGATGGTAGTTATAATTAAAGACATATATACTTGTTGGCTTTTTAGCCTTTTAAGTGATGATCATCTAGATGTTGTACATAGAGATGTTAGAATGAATGAAGGTACTTCATTCCGGCCTCTTCGAGTAGTTCAATTCCAATTCATTTTAATATTTCTTTCATCTCAAAATGATTATTCTCAGAAAAAAGAGAGAATAAATTACGCTTTTAAGTTATAAACTGCCACATTGACCGTTTTGATAAACCCTAATTCATATGTTAACCTTTGAATTAATTAAGAAGACTAAAATGCTAAAAAAACATCGGGAAGTTCATTATCTCGAAGTCTAAGTTGACCTTACCAATTTGGAAAGACAATGCACATAGAGCTAGCTAGCTAGCAGGAGCTCTCATCAGAAAAATTGATTACATTAACCAAATGATCATATAACGGACAACTTAATTGACAACTTTGGACTTTTCTAGTTCTATTGTTATTTTAATATATAAAATTATGTTGCAAGAGGGAAAAAGAAAAGAAAACAAAAGATGCAAACATAAGCAAATTTTGCTAAATTTATCCACCAAAACTTAAAAGAGGGTTTGAACGTTCTTCTGTCGTTTCTGGAAGAGAAAAAAGGGGGAAAAAATGAAATAAAATAATTGTAATAGTTGAGCAAGTTAGGAAACAGGAGGGTTGATTGGTTTGTTGTAATTGGAATTACAAAGACATCATGAAGGGCTCGGTTTCCTGTAACAAGGCCCCGTTGACAAAAACCTTCATTGATCCCGACATAAATTATAACATTGGATGAATCTGGGAAACACGTGTAATGATGATCAATGTTAATTAGCTCCATTCTGGCTTTCTTTTCTCAAAATATATAAATACTTTCGGCTCCATTTCAAAACCAATTGGCAATGAGTAGAATGGTTTTTGATACTTATACAAAGTCACTTCTCTTCACGGTAGCAATATGGGATAGATTATACACCTTCACACCCTCAATCAAGTCCAATGGGTCTTTGAATGTTTTTTCCCCAATGGATTTGGATCAGGACAAGAATAAAATAGTCCACGAGTCAACGCTCAAATAAAAGAAAGTTAGTTATACCGTTGGATCGATCCACAACAAGCCCATGAATTAACGCTCTAGTGGGGGAAAACCAATTATACCGTTGGATCGGTTCATAACAAGCCCACGAGTCAACGCTCAAGTGGGAGAATATAAAATCACCACCAAGCTACCTTTGGCCAAAACTCCACCACAGGCCCAGCACGCTCTGATACCATATCAAAATATATAAGTACTTTAATTTGGACTCCCATCTCAAAATCAATTGGCATTGAGTGGAGTAGCCTTTGGCACTCATATACAGAGTCACTTTTCTTCATGGTGGCGACGTGAGATAGATTATACACATTAACATTTTTATTTATTTATTTTTCAAATAGAACAAAGAAAGAAGAAAGAGTTTTAGTAAGGAATGATGCATTACAAAGTTAATTTCGAATTTTCAAGTCATAAGAAATATAAAAGTTAAATCAACATCTTATTTTATATCACTGAGTACACTAACTGACTGATGCTCTTATTAGTTGATTGACATTGGCACCAATGATAAATTAATACTGAACGTAGTACTCTAAGATTAATTTGAGGGGCGAATAGTTTGTAGTCAAAAGATAATTTGGGTGATCAGTAGTTGAAATTAATGTTCGTTTCTGTTGGTCCTAAATCCTGATAAGGATATCTTAACATATAGGTACATACATTATCTATAGAAAGATTTTTGAAGGAATCTTCAATTAGGGTGTCCTAAAGAATTGTTGTCTTAATAATCAGACGTTGGTTGGTCCTAACTCCTAAATCCTAATAGGGTATCCTTAATCAATTAGGGATCACTAATAACAACATTAAATTTGTTCTAGCATTTGTTTTGACCTTAGTTATACTATGTATAAAATGAGGTAGATCGATGGAGGGGATCATAATCATTATAATTGAGAGCCAAGCACACGTTTGGGAAGAGTAATTAAGTTGAAAAGGTCCCCACTTTTAAAATTTGCACAGGGCTTAATGTATTGATCAAGTACTAATTAGTAGGTTTACCTAACATAAAGTATTGGTGTTAGTAATCTAAACATTTAGAATATATATACATGCATCTAATGACCTTGTGTATTCTAATTGATAGACAATGTGTCCCCTTGATTGACTGCAGACCCATTTAATTAAACATTTATTTGCTCAATTATGCTAGTAGTACTTCTGTCATTTCACTCCCAACAAAAACGTTACTCCTAATTTAAAACTTCATGACAAATAGGATTGTTATTTGAAGTACCAATTTTATTTCTAATGTGACAAAATTTGATTGATTAAGGCCAAAGCCAGTGAACCCAACTGCAGATTTTTCTTCAAATTAGACTAAAGAAAAAGTTTTATATTCCAGATAGAAAGCAAGGGCACCGACTACATAACGACAATGTAATAGGAATGGTTATTTTATTTTTTCAAAAGTAAGAAAATAAAATTGATTAGGCTTCGAGCCCCAGAGGTCTTTGGGTAATGTGGCAAATTTGGGCAAAGTCAAGCGGCGTAACCTCTTTTTCTAAACTTCAATTTCGGCGTTAAAAAATTATAGTACTGCTAGTAAGAATGTGCACTTCCTTTAAAAAGGTTGAATCGAATTAAATTATAATTAATTAAAAATGGGTTTTCATCTACATTGAGTTTGAGTCCATTACGTACTGCTTGCTTTCGTTAATCACATCCCACCATGAAAAAAGGTTAGTAGTATATATTTATTTATTCCTCCATGGAAAATTTGGTGGAAGAATCCAATTCAGGTTTAATTGAAGCTATTAATTTATGGGTTTTGAAGTGATTATTTTAGAGATTTGGGGAAAAGGATGACCGACCCAGCTGAGAAAGTAGACCACACAAAGTGAAAATTGGTAAAAATAAAAATAAAAATAAAAAAGGTTGATAGAGGAGGTCCCGTCGTCTCTCATTCTTGAAACTCTACAACAAATATGAGTCATTTTAATGGAGTAGTGTTTTAGTACGTGTACAAAATTACTTGGAGCTACTAAGTTAAAATCTGATTTATACACGTAGGTTCCCTCTTCGGTAACTTTGTTAACTTTTAGCTAATTTACTAGTATTGTTAAGGTGCAACCAAAAAAAAAAAAAACCTATTATTTACTAATTATCAAAACACTCCATTATTTAACATCACTTGGTGGATCTTTATGTACTCCCTCCGTCCCATAATTATTGTTCAGTTTGGATTTTCATTTTTAATTCAAATTGTACTAAAAGTGAAATCTCAAACTAGACAATAATTTTGGGACAGAGGGAGAGGGAGTAGATTACAAATCCAATATTGTTCAATTATTAATCATTTGTAAGGGGTTTTACAAATTATTATTTTAAAAAAAACGCGGTTAATAAATATGATTTATAAATAAGGTCGGATATGAGATTTCGACGACAACTGATAATATCCAACATAAGAAAGCTGTGTCCTTGATCGTGATTCCTGTACTATTTCTGATTTTCTTCCCATCTAATATGGGTTCGACACAAACAAGAACAAGAATATTAAGTAATTAAAAAAAGTAGGGAAAAACAATTAGTATTGGTAAAGCTGGAGGTAATACAGAGTTCTTGTTCTCGTTATTTACATGCTTTCTCCTTCCGGAGCTAAAGGTACAAATTGAACTTTTACCAGCTGGTTCCTACTTCTGTATTGCAAGTAACTAGTAGTAATGAATTTCTCTCAATGTTGCTACGTTAGAATTACTAACGTTCGCCTTCATCATTTGACCACGACTTCTTTTGAAGCTGCCAAATTAAATTGGCATACACCTTCCTTTGAAACCGTGAAAGCTAGCAAACAATTAGTCCTGCGACTTCTTCTAGGAGGGAGAGTAAGCGTGTGATAAATGTGAACGTTTGCCTGGGAAAGCGCTACCACATAAACTCACAAAGTTGACAATACTGTAGTTTTGATTTGTTCTTTCGTTGACCAGCTTTTGAAACAAATCCTATCAATTATCCACATTCCACAATACTCGTGCTATTTACGATAAACTGCACTAAACCCCTTCATTTTTTTCTCGTAATTCAAAAGGGGACTTTTCAGATCCTCAAAGTTACACTTGCGCCCACCCCCTCGCTAGCTCATAATTCATTACTTTGCTAATGAAATATGTTATGAACCTCCTTGTCATATACTCTCATCATTTCAAAATATAAGTCTTTTTAATCTTTACATCATTTAATGATAATTTGTGTATTAGATACTCCCTCCATTCCAAAATAAGTGTCGTTTTAGCAAAATAGAAAAATTCCAAAATAAGTGTTGTTCTCACATTTCAATGCACTTTTTATCAAAAGTTTCCAAAATTACCCTCAAAAGAGTTGATGCTATTGGTGGACAATTTTATAATGGGGTTAGTTGAAGATATTCAAGTAATTTTATTACCCTATTTAAGAGTTTCTTAAACTATGTACAAAGTGCAGGACGACACTTATTTTGGAATGGAGGGAGTATTTTTTTGCCCTTCATTTATTATGTTGTAACTATAACCAAAACTAGATGAAAAGTGATTAGCATCATTTATTGGAGGTAAAGTTGAGAAATTAGTCTTTAATTTACCTTAAAATTCTAAAACGATCTACATTTTGAAATATTTCTCTAAACTTAAAAACGACCTACATTTTGAAATATAGGGAGTAATTTGAAAAAAAAAATGATATGCAATGAAAATATATAATGAAAAAAAATAATAAATGATATGACAGACGTCTTTTTACGAAATTGTCGGCCTGGCCTTCAACAATTGCTACTAATAATTTATTTAATCGCGTGATAATATAAGTTACCAAAACTGAAAAATCAAGCAAAATTTGATAACAATATGAATGCGGGTAAAGCTTGGATTGGCTCTACACAACTTGTATAATGCTGCCCATAAACAAATCAATACATACAAAAGACAACTCATTTTTTGTTTGCGTATTCTCGTTTAACAACCTCAATTTATTGAGATATTTTGACTACGTACTACTAAGACGACTTGGTGATTTGCGTACTGGGATAGAGCATACCTTTTTGAATTTCACTTCATTAATTGATGCACGGTGATAATCCTCACCTTCAAACATTAGAAGCGGATGTAACAAATTATACTCACTACTCCTTCAATGAATCACTCATTTTGGGACGAAAATAATACTCCCTCCATTCACAAATAGATGTCGCTGGAGAGATTTCACAAAGTTTAAGGAGGCAATAATTATCTTGTTAAAATACTATAATACCTTCATTTATTCTCAATTCAATTGTAGTCCCAATAAAATTCACTTCTAATACAATTCTATATTAAACATCACAACAATTTCCAATGTAAGGGTGATATTGGAAAAAATTGACAAAATATGCCTCGATTTGTGAGAACGACATCTATTTTGGAATATTTGAGTTTTCCTCCAACGACATCTATTTGTGAATAGAGGGAGTATAAAGTATCTACAATTACAAATTATTTAGTAAGAAGTCCGGGCTTTTAATTAAGTAATCGCCATCGACCACACTACCACAAATGGCCTTATGGTCGACATACATGTGTTTATCAATTATTAGTAATCCTGATCATCAACTTTAAAAAGAGGGGAAATTCAAATAGAAAATGTCACACTAAATTCCAAGGAAAGAGGCAATGGGGGCTTTAAAAAGCTGGCAATAATCGATCCTAACCATATCCTCAAGAAATTTTAATCAAAAAACCAGACGCACGTACGGGGAGTCAAATGTATTATTCTCTGGGCCAAACCTTGTCAACACTTTTTAGGCTCATTTCCCGCTCAAGATTCCTCCTGTTCCTTACTCTGAAGAACCATGGCCGGAAAGGCAAGATTGCATATATCTACTCATATGCATCAAAGTGGCCATACATACGTGGATGATTTAGCACTTTGGTTAGATATGCCCATCTGATTCATTTGCCCTATCGATCAGAGATCATCCCCACCCTCCAACAAAAAGAAAGATAGACAGGAAAAAGAACAACAATTCTGTACCGATGTGTTTTAGGTCGCTCATGATCGAAACTATATCTTTCAGATAGTTAAGTATATCGAATCCGTTCAGAATCACAAACACACCAACCTGGAAGCAGTAAGATATAGATTAAGATATGCCGATAGACCTTACGGTGCTTGTACAACAAACAAGACAATTATTTTGGAATAGATAAAAATATACTCCCCTCATCTCAAAATTATTGGTATATTTGGATTTTTATTTCTAGCGATCCAAATAGACTATACTATAAATGATAATCCAATCAAAACAATAGAACAAATAAGTATGTCGACAGTGAGGAAGTATTACAACATGCATGCTTAGTACAGAACCAAAAACTGAAATATGTGGTCAGAGTGAAGCAATGCAAACAAATCCTCTGCCACACATGCACACACACACACACACGCACTAGGAGATCACTTAGCATTCAGAAGCTGATCGACCTAAATGTTGGAATTAAAAAGGCAGTTATATATCTGGTATAACTCCATGCAGACAAGTAGGGCTACAAATTATTGAGCCTAAACTAAATTCCAAGAGAACAAATCATGGAAAGAAACAGCACTTGAAGAAACATACACTACCACACTAGACTAGACATATGCATGATAGATCAGCACTAATGTCTTCACCACGTACACAAAGCATGTTACCTTTTCTTCTTGCATAAATGACCTACTTGTCATCTACACTTAACCTGCAGGTTTGAACTAAAACGTAGGAAATCAAAAGATGACAACAATATTTCCCACTCCTTTTTTCTTGTCTTTCAACCTTCTTTTATGAGTATATACGTACATCAAGGGTTTCATGGATCGAATAGCAGTAAGAAGTAAGAACTAGCTAAAACTAGTTAAAAAGTTTTATAGAATTCAGTCAAGATATATGTCATGAACTTAGCAGAATGATCCGCTGGGATGATCTTTTCACAAGTTTCTAAACCAGGAAGCAGGCACTGACACATTACACCTTAAAGCCATTATTATAATATAAAATGAAGAGCTATAGTTTCCTCCTAAACTGGCAAGACGCTACACTATGTTGACTTTGAACTTGTTTATTAAAAGAGATACAACAACATAACACACCTAACAAAGTTGTACCTAAAGCTTAACAGATCAGGAAAAAAAACATATTCTTTGTACCTTTTTCTGACACAAACCTGCAAAAATATGTCCACAGAGTTCGTGAAGAATCCGCCAACAACGCATATAACAATGCTTAGTTAACAGCTAAAAAGGATGCAAACATCAATGATGTTAGGTTTACCAATTCACCTCACTAATCCAAACACTACTACTAGCTAAACTTATGCATTAAATCATATGCTAGACAGAAGAACAATTATTAAATTCCCTCGGGATTGCCTAATCCCAGTCTTCAAGAAGGTAAGATTCTTGGAATGAAGAGACACTTGCGTGCCTTTTTTTTTTTTCTGTTGCCCCCTCGTGCCTCAGGATAATACTAATGTATGACTCTGTTACACTATACATTTTTAAAGTTCATTTCTCCTTTCTATAGCTCAATTAATGTTTTGGAAATCCTAATGATGATGGAACCAGTATGAATATTCCAACGGTTTTGCATAAGTGCTTACACAACAAAATTTGTGCAAATCTAAACACCTACATTCTTCTCTACCCACAAAAGTAAACACAAATTGGACAAAAGAAAAGAGATTAGGCAAATTAAACAGTGCGGTTAGAGGGTCTTTTGAGGATTAATTATCAAAAACAATATCAACTCATAGCCTAGAATCAAGAGCTCCAAAGGCTCATGTAAAGTGAATGATAAGACAACACGGAGACATGGTTAATTAGGTTTTATGGGTTTTTTTTAGAAAGAGGAGATTTATCTGGTAGTACTAAATAAGTAGCCAACTAGCTAGCTGGTCATTTTAAGAAAGTGGAATTTGTCTGCACGAGAAGACATATTTATAGATTTAAGAGAGCTAGTGTACAATCATTAATTCAACCTATCCAGAGCTGAGAAAAGATATAAGCTAGGAAACAATCATAGGTTGAATTTCTAGGCTTCTGATCATGAGGAGAACATTTCTAGGGTTTCTATAGCTGACAAAATTTATGGCAGCTCAGAAAATTGCATGCTTGAATGCAAGACAACAACCAAAATTATCTTATCTTCAACCCTTTCTGATCTCATAATTACTTATAATTGTAAAGCTATATGTAATTTTCTAGCTAACCCTGAATTTTCTTGAAGATTAATGATGGATGTATCTGAAGGCCACTGACTGCAGATCTTCCATATTGTCATCTGGATATGCACCCCATTGGTGTTCCTCCCTTGTTTGTATTTCAAATGAGTCCATTGATTGAGAGCCCTCTTCATAGTTTGCTGATGAGATGTTATCCCCTTGGAAAGCTGAATAATTTTGACAGTTTGACATTGAGCTTTGACTCATGCTCCCACTCTGGTTATAATTATGTGACAAGTTGTTGGAATCAAAACGGGAAAAGTTGTTGCCACAATTTCCCTGCTGAAACCAGCTTTGCAAGTCTTGTGAAAGATTAGGCATGTATTTCCCTTGGGATTTTTCATTAGGGTTTCCACTACTACTGTAGCCATTACCAAATGATTGCCCTGCAGCTTGTTCTTTGAGAAATGCCAGTTGAGCTTGTAGACTCACAACCTACATATATATAGTTCAATCAAGAAACAAAACTAATTAGAACCCTTTTCAGCATTCAATTTCCAAGTTCAATTTTCATCAGTTAATAAACTGGAAAACAAAAAAAAGTAAGATAATTCATTTACCTGTTGCTGAAGGGCAAAGATGTGGGAAACACAGCCATAAATTGGATCCTGCAGCCTTGCTTGAGCTTCATAAGAGATCGTTACCGCGGCTTCGCAGCGATCACTTACGGGCAAGTGAGCAAGAAGTTTTGAAACATTGCTGGCACCAAAGACTTTGTGTATAGCTGCAAAATGAGCAGCTCCTTGTTCATGGCAGAAATAAGGTGCAAAAACACATCCTCTCACACATTTTCTTCTCAAGAACTTGCAAGCACCACATGGTGATCCCGAGCCAGTCATTTTTTGTATGATTATTTTTAGTGACGATGAATTTTGATGGAAATGATTGGGGAAAATAGAGTGAAATTAATTAGTAGTACTAATGAGTAATGAGAGGATTTGTTGGAAGAGGAAATCAGTGTTCTTTATAAACACCATTGGAGGGGAGATGAGGATGATAAAATATTGATTTGTTAATTACACTAGGTTCCCTTATTGGGCTACATTTTATCATTATTTATTTTCCAATACAAAAGATACAAATACAGTAGTACTTTTTTATTTTTTCATGGCCCTTCCTCCTAATTTTATACCTTCCTTCTTATATCCTCATTCAAAGTCCTTAAAGGACAAAAAAACCATGAAACCAATCATTTTCCTCATCTCTCTATGATTGGATCTCTTATTTAGTTGCAGTTAATTTCTACATTGGCATCTGATTTGTTTTACTTTCTTCATTTCAAAATAAAAAGATACCCTATCGATCTCAAAATAATTTTTCAATTTTAATTTTTATTTTTAGTATAATTTATACTAAAAGTAAAATTTTAAACTGGACAATCATTTTAGGACGATAGGTAAGGAGGAGTACAAAATTTACATTATGTGTGGTACCCGGTGACGATGTGACTAGACTTCTACATAATATTGAAAACAACTTTTAAAATTTGATAGGTGCATTTGCTACCCATACATAATATATAGCCCCGATTAATTTAATTAATGTTCAAAAGGACAATTTATGTGAAAATTGTACTTCGTTTTAACCTGATTCTTTTTGGTTACCGCATGCAGATTACAGGTCGCGATATCGAGCCTACCAACAGTCATTTCCCCCATAATTTTTTCCCCAAACAAAAAGGGGAAAAAAAACTATTCAGAGTTATTTTTATTGCCTTAAATAGCTAATTAATCAAAGCATAATGTACTTGTATATATATCAGAGGCATATAGTATACTTGTTATATGGTTTAAGACATTTATCCACCTCCTCCTTACAACAAAATGTTAAATGAATAAAAGAAAGAAAATGGGCTCATGTTCCCTTGTTCCATATAGATGGAAAGAAATATTTGAATTCAACATATATCCCATGTGCTACTTCCCTCATCACCAATTGGTTTTGAGGTAGAACCATATGTGGGCTTATATTTAGGCCTTTCAAGATAAAATAAAGCCAATCAAGATTTTGGGGAAAAGAAATTGAATAAAGAAAAAAAAAGATAAGGAATTTGATTTGACATATTTCTATCACCTCTGGTTCGTTTAGAACTGTGCACAGCATTTGGTACACCTGATTAAGGATTTCCATAACGTAGAGTTTATGAAAATATCGCATAAGAAGGCGAGTCTCAAAAACATTACTGTGTTATGTTAATTACGGAAACAACCCACCTAAGATATAATGTCGAAACTGAGGAAAGTTGTAAGATGGTGGTGAATTGTGACGTAAGAAAAATTGTTGTAAAATTCGATTCTCTTTATATATCCATAAAGATGTTTTATGCTTTACTTAATTTATTTTGGTAAAGAAACTAAAGCAACTTACTACCTCCGTTTTTTTTTTTTTATCTTTCGCTTTAGGTTTTGCACAATTATTAAGAAAACAATGATTGAGAATTTAATTTATAAAAGTATTGTCTTTCTTCCCCTTAATTAAAAGTATTAGAATTCTAAAAAATTAGAAATTGAAGTTAAAGAGTAGGTAGTTGTTATTAATATATGTTATTAAAAGTAGAGAGAGATAAGGGTAAAATTGAAAAAATTGTATTTAATATTGTATTAAAAATAAAATGCGACAAATTAAAAAAAAAACTTTAGATTTACCCTAAAACGATAGATAAAAATAAAAGGAGGTATTAGTTACCATAATAACATGGTCATGGTACTATCTCCTTGTTTTTAGCAATCTTGGGAAAGACATGGTCAAAGTCAAATAATCCGGAAGTCTTAAGTTCAGACCTGATCGGAACTGGAATTTCTTTGAAGGTTGCACGTTAAACTAGACGCCGGTTGAAACATCAAATTCTGTTTACAAAAATTACATTAGTGAAACCGAAACATAGCAAATCTATATGCATGCATGCTGTCACAAATGCGATATTAGGTTTTTTAGTTCAGCTTCCATCACGTATATCTTCAATTTTAACTGAAGAAAAATGAATAGTGAATCAAACAATTTAAACTTATCAATTTGAAGAACTATAACTAAACATTTGTCATTCACAGTTGAGTAATTCATTTCTCATGTGGACCACATTACGGAACGATATAAGAAATTTCTTTTAAGAAAAAAGAAAGGGAAAACATTGTCTAATGTAAGTACAAGCATATATTTATGAGGCCATCAAATGAGAGAGTACACCGACAAGATCTACATTAAGGGTATATATTAGATTGAACTGTTTGCTAAGTACTCCCAACAATTGAAACTAAATACAGAAGAAAATTCGTTACAATCAATTAGAGGCTGCTTTGCTTTGGGAATTAGTACAGAGAAGCATATTCTTAAATGGAACAATACAAAAGATAGTGACATCGGAATAGAGCCACCTGAATAATTTTATTTTTTCAAAAAAGTAGCGGTAGAGGGATTTGAGATTATATCATATATTTATTTACTAAAACATACACATAAATAACACAGTAAAATAACATCATTTTGAGACAGATAGAGTTATTTATAACAATAGTGTTATTATACAATTTGGAAAAGGTTTCTCCTTTTTAGATGGTTTTTTTTTTAATTTTTAATTGTTTAGAGGACACAGATTGTCGAGCAATACAGTGTCATCACCATTTAACTAAACCCTATATTATTCAACCAATTCTTAATCACTTTCAGTCACTTTCTTCTTGTCATAAATAGGCTCCAACATGTAGACCTAGCCCCCCAAATGTGTATTTTGGCCCTACTTTCACAACTCTAATAATAATGACTCCCCAACTATCCCATGTTTAATTATTTTAATTTTTTTTTGCTATTATCATTTTTTTTTAATTTTATTTTCAACAAATTGGCCATTGGGCCTAGCTATCCTTTCTTCTTTTGACGTTTTTATCCCATCGAAATACTTAATATCGATTGGGTCACGAGCAATTTTACCACCCACTAACTCCATCTTAAGTCTGAATTTGTCTTTTAGTTTAATTTTTTTTGCCGATCCAATAATAGAATTGAAGTGTTTATAGAATTTTCCCTTTTCTTTGTAGGGGGATATGAGAAAATGATATCCTCTTTGGTCTTTCCATAAATTTTCTTATACACATCTCCTGCCGGATTCATTGAGAGTCATTTAATTATCAAATAAACCACAAGCATACAATAGCTATTTCAAAAAAAAAAAAGAAAAAAAAAACCAAAAGTTTACTAGACATTTTTCACTCTAAGCAGCATTACTCTTCCTAGCAAATAAATCAACTTAATCTTTCCGTGATTAAAATACTGGTTAGATTGATTATCACATGCAAAATCTGCCCGACTAGCGATTCTTGTTAGGGTTTTTTTTTTTTTTTTGAGTGATAGCTACACGACTTTCTCCAAATTAACTAGATACAAATCCATGTGTTATATAATTCCTTATGTTCTAAAATTATTGTTCAATTTGGATTTTCATTTTCAATTTAATTTGTTCTAAAACTAAAAATCTAATTAAACTAGATAATAATTTATTTCGGGACAGAAACAATAAATAAATAAATAAATATATATATATATATATGAGAAAATATAAACTTCCAATTAGTGAAGGGGATATGATAATTGATTAAATACTACCCCACCACCCATACGTTTTCCAATTATTACTAAAACCTTTATAAGGTAAGCAGAAATTGAACAACAAAGTTAAACGTAGGATCAAACAGGGATGTCGTGCATGGCATCATCTGCCTGGCAGCCATTATCATCGGTCATGTGTACTTGTTTGCCACTTTAATTATAGCATGGAAGGCAGACTTCTTTCAGGCAACAAAACCCAATTTTTAACCAAATGGGGGGTTCTTTATTTATAATACTCTTCTAATCAACTTTAAAGCAATAATGTATAGCCGACCCGATCAATAACCATTATTAATTTCTTCTTAGTTTATAGAGCACACACTACTAAAACCACCCTGCAAGTTGCAACCCATAAGAACACACACACACACACACACACACACACTAGATAGTACCCTTTTGGAGTCCTTTCTCCATCTTTTAAAAGCCACTTTTGATTCTTGATTCATTGATCAACTTTTGTTTTCTTGTGGAAACCCTAGCTTTAGGATTTTTGATCATTTGATGAGATAGGATCTCTCCTATCAGCCGTTTCTACATAGGCCTCTATTCTAACATGATAAATTAATTATTCTAATTGCAGACATTGTTTTTCCCTTTCACTTGGAGTTACTTTTCATCTTTAATTCTAATACAAAATTTCCCAGTTGCATTCTTTCCACTCCCTAGTGATCACTTTTTTTTTACTTAGTACTTGCAGTTAGTCAATAATTTAAAAACTTTGCTTCAATCAGAAATGCGCTATTGTAATAATTTTTTACCTAAATGGAGTTGGCAATGATCATCTTCAGAAGCACATGATCTATATTGATTGATGGATCCTAAATTCAATGATTAAGAATCAAGACTATATAGCTGGCCACCTCTATTGCGAGCTAGCTCTTTTTTTCTCGTTAATTTTTTTTTTTATTTTTTTCCTTCCAAAATTGATTACCTGGTCAAGAGGCAAATCTCCAGTAGTATTTCATTTTTATTTATTTGTTAATTGGCTTATCTCTCTCGAAAGTCACAATTTTAACCAACACAAAAGCGAGAAAATTTCACATGATTTTGATAGTTAATATAAGAGGCGTAAATCACATACATTGAATTAGTTGAATAAAATGTCACAAGCTAAAGTCTGTTGTAAACCAGCTAGCCTTGATGCAATGCCATATGTCCAACTTTTCTTTTCTTTGTACCGTCAAAAATGGAAAGGTAGAGATTATAATGTGTAATAAATTATGACGGAAATTAAAATCATATTATCATTATTATTTGAGTCTCAATGTTGTATATATAAAACGAAACTTTGTGAAGTCAAATCAATCAACACAACCAGTCACTATATTATG